ACGGATATGCATTAGACGCGTTGCTTGCACAAATATGAAAGGCTTTAGACTTACAGCCCTCTCAGCTGGGTATTGTTACTGAAAATGCCTGATGGTAAATTCTTCAACTGGTTGTTGTTCAACTCCCTACCAAAAATAAGTAAATGGAGAGTCAATTGCATGATATTCGAGAACAAAGTTCGGGGAATAAAGTATACTTGAAAAATTGTATTCTGTTTCTCTTACGTACTGTTATGGGGGGCTAGAATATGCACGTTATTAAACTAATGTTGCCTAAGAACTCATGTTTCGTTTTTGGTTTGACATCTAAAGTCCCAAAAGAGGACAATACGCTATGATTTGGAACAAAATTAATTGAGTCACGCGAGTTTTTTTTTTCTCTTTTTCTTTTTGTACTCTTCGTTTTTAATTTTTTTTTGTTTTTAATTAATTTTTTTAATTCTTTTTCTCCCGCCTTCCATCACCCATTATGACATTGCACACTGTTGTGTACTTCCGTTTTCGTAATAAGCCGGGCAACACTGACTAGAGGATGTAGGGTGGGTAAATTAACAAGAAAGGTTTGGAGCGGGAAATGTTGGAGTGATCACAAAAAATGTCTTAATAAATTGTTTAAGATTACAGAAAACCTGTTCATTTGTGAAGGCGCATAATCACATGCTACGTTCAGGCCTATAACGCAAGGTATGGACAGGAAATACAATCTGTATCACATTCTGCTTGAAAGAATTGGTCGGTTGTATAAGGCAAACATTGTATATTTAAGGGAAGAGCATTCTTCGTGGTTTTAATCTCTCAAGGGGAGGATGAGTTGGATTATTCATACAGAGAGCTGCCCGCAGTGGAGTAAAAAGAAAGTTTGTGCTTAATAAGGCTACTTCCATATTCTAGTCTATCCGATTTTTTTCACTATTTGTTTTAATACAACTTTCTTCATACTTAATTTAGATATATTTAGCTTTTGTAATCGTCACGGTGGCCAATTTACGATTTTAACTTTGTTGATATATCTAAATTATTTCGTTACCCCCACCGACGCAGTCCCAAACAGTTTCTTTCCAAACTATCAGCCTTTATTTATTCATACTTACACTTGAGGTTAAATAACGACAAAAACTCAATAAAGTTTTTCTGGTTCAATGCTGTACACCTTCTTCACGTGTTAAATATTTCTACGCCCAAAAATGAATTAAAGCCTTTTTGGGAAAAAGGTTATGAAAACAACAAACATACTTGTTCATTTATTATTCAGCACATCACTGATAATCCACCCTGTTACGATATCGTTGCGCTTAAGTGAAATATGCACAACAGAGGGATTTGTTTAACATCAGCTTACAGCAGCCTCAGATGGGTATTGCTCCTAAAAACATCCGATGAGAAGTAGTTCAGCTTGTTGTTACTCAAGTCTCTGTGAAGAAATAATTACAAATGCGTTCAATACATACAGGTTTCGAAGCTAATGAAAGGTAATGTAATTCATCACAACAAGTCAACATGATTCAATCCCTTTTGAGATATCGTTGCAATTTGTAAAATATACGCAATATAGACCTACTTTAGTTAAGCCCTTTTGACGCGAATTTTAATTTTATTTTCTGGCCGCCCGCATAGTATTGCTGCTGGGTGTGTTTAGTACGAACGCCTCATTAAGTATGCTCTTCATTCTCAATAGATTGTATGAAAGGAT